TCCCCCTCAGCCTTTGCTCTTCCCCCCCAAAGAAGGCACAGAACAACTCCAACTGCCCTGGACAGCAGCACCTGGCTTTATTGGAAGCCTTTCTAGGTCCAGACTACAGGGCTGGGGTGATGGTGCTGCCTTCTGCATGCCTTTCCTTTGTGGACACAAACCAGTGCAAAAGCAAGGTCCTGAAGCAACCGGGATCCTCCTGAGAGGGCCACTCCGTTCCAGCAGCAGTGCTGAACACACTCCCCCTCCTCTCCCAGCCCTGGCCAGCGCTACAGCAGGCAGAGGAGGGAGCTGCCTGGGGAAAATGGAATCTTGGCCCTGCTCCACCAGGTACCAACCTCTTCCTCTGCTAGACAATGTGCCTTCACACAAAAGACGAGTCCCCAAAGGATGGGCCTTGCAGGCTCTTGCCTTGGAGTGGGAGCAGCTCCACCCTGCTTTTATTCTGGTGGCAGCTTGCTTCCTCCCAAGGTAGACACTGGTGCTCCCAGGGTGAGCACTCCCGGTGGAATGGCCAGGCCTCCCAGCCCTGCAGTTTAAAAAGGAGCACAGACACACACAGAGAGAGAACCATGGACAGGTGAGAAAGAAATGCTCCGTGAGGCGAGGCTGGCTTGAACAGCTGCATCCTGGGCATTGCTTTGTTGTCTCCCATCACCCAGCTCTGCAGCCAAGAGGCCCCTGTGGTCTGTAGCACCCGCTTGGTGCATGTGGGACCGCTCGGGGAAGGCGGCCAGAGCAGGACGTGCTGGGGACCCGGGTGCAGCAGCCACGTAGAAATGCTGTGAGGTCCAGAGACACCGAGCGGTACGGCCAGCCCGGGTCACAGCCACGCTGGAAGGGGAGCGGGAGCTGAGAGTATGGGATGGGGTCATACTTTGTTCCAAGGCAGGTAAATTCCCCACCATTTTTCCTTGTTATTTTGAACTCTAACAGCATCAAACACTTTGTGCTTCTCTGCGTTTAACATGCAGGTTTCCACTGAGTTGGCTGCTCACGGTTTTTCTCTGTTTCACCACAAAATCGGTTGTAAGATCTTTTGGATCAAATCCCAACATCTCCCTTTTTCTCGTGGATTAGGAAGGAAAATGTTGAAATGGAGGTACCTATAAAATACCTGTGAAAAAATCAAAAAGGGTTTGTGGGGAGGGGGAAAATTTTTAAAACGCAAGTAATCAGATTTCACTCCAATGAACTTGACTGTTCAGTGAAATGGTATGATAATGAAATCATCACATATACACACACACAATATATAACCATTATACATCTACTAGACACATCTCAATGATATACTTGATTATATAATGGCTTACACAATTTGTAAACAAGCATGGGCCAAAAATCATACTCAGTTTTCTGGCAGTGACATTAAGCTTTGGCTGAAATAAAAGTCAGGTTTGCTACATTGCATGTGCGCAAATCCACGGGTGAATCACGAGCCCCCATCCTTAGAGAGTTCCAGCTCCTCCAGAGAGGCTTCAAACCTCACCATCTCGGGCAGCAGTTTCTTGAGCAGTTCAATCTCTTGACAAAGGAAGCATCGAAATTTATCTCTACATTATGAAGAGCAACTCGCTGCTGTCACACATTGTGTTTGTTAAAGGGAACCCTGAGTGAATGGTTATACAGCAAGTGACACCAAAATCTACCAACAAATTTTACAATGCAGCTGCCAAAACCCACAGCACGGCAGCCAGGGAGGGGAGCCAGTGTCAAAAGTTACCAATCCTCAGGTGACTGCAATCCACGTACCTTCCTCAACAGCATCAGTGGCTACAAAAGCTTACTCACATTTAAGCCTCTTCAAGAGGCTGTGGATTTTCTTTACTGCTCCTTGCAGGGAAGGCACGTCTTCTCTGTGACCAAATGAAGTCCCTCCTTCTGAGATGAACCCCAAGCTATGGGCCACCTAGAGCTGTGCCCATCTTAACCTATGAGAGAAAGATTTTAAGGCATCTCTGAGGGCTACTGCTTGGGATTTAATTCCTGGGAGGGAAGATTACCTTGGCTTTAATGCTGCTGATGGATGATGTCCCCCAGCTGGTAGGGAAGGTATTTGGGGTGGCCGGGGCACACCTGGCAGCCGTTGTGGAAGCTCAGAAGCAGGAGTTGCTGTCTGAGCCCCTCTGCTTGCTTTACTGGGGCTCCTTCAACCCGACACTGCCAGCTACCCAAGACACAGGCAGGAAACACCAAGGAACATTGCAGGCAACAAGCAGGAGACACTGAGGCCTCTGTGCAGGTCTGGCCTCAGCAGCTAATGTCATTTTGGCCTAAGAACACTCACCTGCAGGAAATGCCCCTCTTCAGGTGGGATCAGCCCTGCCATTCCCCAGAACTCCAAAGAAGAACTTTGGCCTTGGAGCAAGGGAAGCCTCAGGATTTGTCCTGCTCATTTCTCCCTGGAAAAAAAACATTGCATGACCACTTTTACAGGGGTTGGATAAATTCTGGAAAAAGCAGGAAACCAGGGTTATGGGAAGAATTTTTGCTGTCATGTCAGGTGCCAGCCAGTTCTGCCCTAGAGCCATTCCAGCGGCTGGTGTGTATAGAGATTTAGCAGAAAAGAAGGAGTTGCAATTCCCTTGCTGGTGGCAAGGATTCCCATCCTATGGAGGTTCAAGCTCACGAGGCAGCGATTAGGTCAGTAATGGCCAGACTGTGAGTTCCATTCTCACATGGGCCGTTTACTTGAGAGGTTTATTTTAGGATCCCTCTCAAGCCCAGTAGATCCTGTGATCTGGAAATAATTCAGAGAGATGATGTTGGCCAGAACATTCATGCAAGAACCTAAGGAAGATGAGAGTGGGATATCCGTGGACAGTCCGGCCATGAGAGGGCAGTGAGACACAGCTTACGGTGAAAGCCATGCGTTCAGAAATTACTTCCAAATTCCGCTGACCTTGCTCCACCATCGAACAAATACATACAAAGGTTTGCTCCTGCTCGTGGTAGGAGGAGAAATTAATCCAAATCCAAGATGCTTTTGCAGCACAGGTGGGAAAGATTCTAAAGATAAACAGCACTGCTCTATGTGCGCCTTGTGATTGCAGTCATAATAGATGTATAATATAGTGCACATGTATCCTATGTGATATGCACTAAATATATCAGATATTTATAATAAATGAAATACAAAAAATACAAAAATACATCATAAAGTTACAAAAGATGTTATTTATTAAAGATTATCAATTCAAGTTTTCCTTGATACTTGTGTTGAATATATAATAATTCCCTGCCAATTACTGAAGGAAAACATCACTCTGGAGTCGGGTAATCACGGCAACACATACCCAGAGAGGTCGAGGGATCTCCATCCTTGGAGATATTCCAAACTAAAAGGCCCTGGGAGCACAGGGCCCTGCAGAGGTCCTGGCCCAAGTATATGACTGATCCTTGGTGACTGGGAGCACTGCAGCTACCCAATAAACTCTAATTAATTAGTCTTAAATTGCACCTGCCAAGCAGGTTGCAGAAGTCCATCTGTGCTTCTCTGCTGCATCCCAGGTAGCTTGTGACATGAGTTGTCAATGAAAGGAGGAAGGGTCTTGATTAAAGATCAAGGATCTGGTGTTAAATCCTCCTTGCCCAGTCCGGGCCTGTGCATTCCCCATTAATCATAAATACACTTTGTGCCCCTCTACTCTGTAAGCAAATTATCATGCTGGTTAAATGCAGCTAAGGTGACAATACTTAGAACTTCCCAGGTCTTATCCTCCAAGCCATAGCCAGGTAGGTCTCCAGACAGACTTTGCAAGGCTGAGCACAGGATGAGCTCCCGTGTGAGCTAGACTAACCATGCAATGAGGTCAGGGTAGGATAATGGGGAAAACTGAGCTCTGCTACTAGGAAATGTCATGTTGACATGACAACTGTAACATTTTTTATAAACAAAAATAAAATTGTAAAATGCAACTGTAACATTTTTTATAAACAAAATTAAACTTCATTTGCTACACAGTAGCTAATGTGCCGTTAATTCAAACCTCACAGAAGAACTCACTGGACACAGTTAATAGTCAGCAGGGCAGATAGGCCAGGCTTTGAAAGCATTTAATATTCACTGAAGTGCTGCTTGTATCCAATTATAACTCACTACTTGCCATCTTAATAATTTAAATCTGTCCACTCTTTAGAGAGGAAAAAAAATGCACTAATCAAAGACATGAATGCACCTTTTGCTTTTGACAGCATTAAATTAAAACTAAATGGTAGATCTTGAATGAATTACTCTGAAATAATAAAGGCATTAATGAGGTAATTTCATTATAGAGGCTCATCCAAGCCTATGTGAAAACAAGGGAAGTAAATGGAGAGGAAAGCTGCCGAGGAAATTAGGGTTCCTTCCACACTAATTAATGTTTGGAAGCATTTAGTACAGGCACCAAATTAACTGCTCCAAAGAACTCCATTGATAAAAAAAAGGACATTGTTGCCCTGCCATGTAATTAGAAGACAGTACAAGCAGAACACTTAATGAGTATAAAGCCAGCCTTTAACTTATTCTGCCCAGCTTCTGAAAACATGCCTTTGTGGAGGCCTAAGTTTAAGGAAGCACTGGGCGTACAATATAGGATTGTTTAGGTCCTTCTGGTCGCTGAGCTGTAAACAGGTAGCCCTGAATGACAGACTCTGAGACTCGTGGGAGGCCTGGCTTCCCAGAAAAAAAAAAAAAGAAGGGGAAAAAAAAAAAAAAAAAAAAAAAAGTATTACATGCATCCAGAATAAAGCAAAAAAAGGTGAATAGACCCAGCCCGGCAGAGCCAGCACAGTGAATGCCCACCGCTGTCTTAAGTGATTACATGATGTTGTGCCACCCCCTCTCATTGAGTTATCTTTACACTGCTTTTGTCTCCTCTAATTGAAGCTGATGAGGTGCTAATTGGTTGCTTTTTTTAAAAAAAGCAGTACTTAAGCACTGGCAAACAGAGTAAGACAGCGTGAGTAGAGTTAATGAGGGCTTAGGAAAAAAAAAAATTAAAAAAACCAAACAAAAGAAACCCCAAAACCCCACACCAAAAAAAAAAAAAAAAAAAAAA